CTTCGCGGAAACGGACGAGTCTTCGCCAAATGTACTGCTGACCCTGCGTCGATTCTGCAATCGGGGACGGAAACGAGATGTCCAGCTGGATGACGATTCTGGCGCTGGGAGAGTTGGACCTGGAATCGACGCGCGGAAGAAAGTGTTGTCATTGTTTGGCGAAATGTCGTTAGCTGTCCCTGGTCGTACTAGATCTGGTTCACCTTTCTCAGAAATAGGTGAAACGGGAGCAGATATGTTAACGGGGGCGTTCATGTAGGAGCCTAAAGGCCATGAACCTGACCCCATGAGGCCGGAAACTTTCTCCACATCATCTTGAGTGGGAGGAATAGGGTCATCTGCTCCAACGTTGGATGAAAGTAGTTTGTTGTTACCGTTCCTTGATGACCTTGAGCTCTTATTTCGCAGGAGCTCGAAGCGGGGACGTTCAAGCGGGCTGTCGCGCCTCGCGGCACTATCCAGCTCGGATTTTCGGATTTTAGCCTCGCCATTCCCTCTGTACCTTGAGCGACCTAGCCTGTTAAAAATACTCCCCTGCCGCTTTGGAAGTTGGGGAAGAAACGCTCCAGGTGCATTGGGAATCACACTCGTTGGCTCGTTAGTGGCATCGGTAGCTATGACGCCATCTGTGATGGTGTCAGGGACAGGGGCCGGTCTAGCTTGGCCGTTGCTTGGGAATATCGAGCGGCGGCAAGGCTCGGCGCGTCTTAACAGCACTTTTTTGGTCACTTCCTCGTCAGAGCTATCTTCGAGATCTGTCGAATCGCCATCAACACCATCCTTGCGCTTGGGGATACCCCGGACAGGACTGAAATACGTGGGAACTAGCTCATCCTCACTCGAATCTTCATAACGGCTACGGAATGGACGAGCAAACCCCACCACATTATTGTTAGCGTGGCTAAGTGAGTACCTGGATTTCACCCCTATATGCGTATGCGGACTCAGCCCAGCTTGGACCCTTTTCAGCTTCAACGACTTTCCAAAGCTGCTAAATGACGAGGATTTGGTGTGCAGTCGATCCCCCGGTCCGCGTAGCGTGGTCCGAACAGGTAAGTTGTGATCTGAAGAAAACGGCCTCCGCTGGGGGGTGGGTGGGGTTGAACGGCCAGCGATGCCAATAGAATAGCCACCAGAGGAATATGGCCGAGTATCAGAGGGACCTCTCAGCGTGCGCTTCAAAGTATAATGTGTAGTACTCCGCGGTGAACGTCTGGTTCGCTTGAAGCTGCTTGAAGAATCACTATCATATACGGCAGATTGACTTCGGTCTTTCAAAACGAATCCGAAATCCGAGCCAGCCACACCTGGAGGAGGATGGCCATTTTCAATGGGCCGGTTTGTGGAAGACGGGTCATTTCTGTTCTGTGAAGTGTATTCCTTATCGTAGGAGGGAGTTGTATCATTTGGGGTCCGCTTAGAGGGTTTTGACCTTGGTCCCTTTTGCTGGGCAACATTCCGGAAACTCGTCGTTGACTGATCGGTTGGTTTCCCGTTGGACTCAACTTTGTCAGAGCTCGCTGGTTTAGCACTGGTTGGTACGACCCTTGCACCGTCTAACGTCGCAGAGACCCCGCCATGTAAGTCGGACTTCGGGTGCAGTTGCTGGTTTTTATGATGCAGCAAGTCTCGACCATCCTCTGAATCTTCTTTCTTGCCGCTGGGTACTGGCGAAGGCAAAGCTTCTTCCTCGACAGCGGGCAAAGGAGCGTTTGTATAAACACGCCCTAGTGGAGAAGAATTTCGGGGATCATTACGTTGCGATGAAATGTCAGATGACCGCTTCTTATCTGCTTTGGATCGAGTAGGGCTATCTGGGGGCGGAGTGTGTGTATAGCTAGAAACGTGAGAGACGGGGCTATCAACTATTGCATTTATGGAACCAAAACCATCGCCCTCAAGATCTGTCAAATTTTCGGCAGCGTCACTGTAAATACTTTCACTTGAATCAGATTCATCATCATCGGTGGATGGAACTGAATGAATCTGGGAGCGAGGTAAGGACTCTGGGGTAACGGGTCTTGGTTGACGAGCATAATCTATGCTCAGCTGGGGCTTTTCGTGATCTGAAAAAGGCATTGGAGATGGAAACCCTCCTGGAATCCTGGTCCATTCGCCGCTAGTCTTCTCATCCGTAAGAGCAGGGGTAGCGGGATGAATTGAGATGCCAGGTACACTTCCACTCTGCCCCTGCGTGCCAGTAGTTTCATTTCCGGCCTTATGGCTGTTGCTAGAGGCGTTTTGCACCTCCGAAGGAGAGAAGCTAGTAATACTGTCGCCTGAAGGCGCAAAATCCAAAGGGTCCTCCATATCGTCGCTGGACGAGCTGCTCTCAGAGAGAGAATCGTAGCCAGTCCCTTCGACCGACGTGACTTCTGGAGGTATTGGCTCACCAGGGACAACAGACCTGGAGTGGTCTGGGCGAGTATATTTGTTCTGCTGTAAAATTCCACCGAAAGGATTGCCACCGGTGGACGTCCTCGGTGAAGCAGGTCTGTCATGAACCAACCGCTTATCATGATCTTCGATCAACCCCCTTCGTCCGCGAACACTGCCAAAAGAAGGAAGCGCAGGTCGAGGTTTCAAGACTTCGTTAAACACATCCTCACCATTCCCATTACTTGTATTAAATCGGTGACTATTCCTTGAAATGCTTGAATACTTTGATCCTGGGCCCCATGAAGAGCTTGAGGAAACGGGTGATCCCGACCGTTGAGAAGTTAAATGGGCGCCAGCAGTCCCTACCACCTCAGGTTCATCCTCGAAGCTGACCTTAGGAGCGCGTTTTTTACTCCCGATCCTTCGCCCATCATCCGATTCAGCTGATGTGCCATCAGATGATTCGCTATTCACTTGGAGTGATTTAGACCAGTTGCTCGAAGTGCGATCGCGCGGGCTAGATTGAGGAGTCGGGTGTTTCAGTGCTGACTTTGCAGGAGACATCGACCGTGGAGGTGGATCATGAAGTCTTTCGCCGGTGGTGGAAACAATAAGGTGACTGGAGAAGCGTGTAGTACGTGTCGGGCTAAGCGAATGCGGTCTTTCTTTATTTGTATCTGCAATGCTAAAACTGGATGGACCGTGCGCGTGGCCGTGTGATAGAGTTTCTGAAGGAATATGTAAAGTAGGGCCAAGATCTGCAGATGGGGAGGCATCAATCGCAGACTCAGTTGGCAGAGGTACGTTGTCGTTTTCGGCATCTCCTGTAGTACCACCTGGTAGTTGAGATTGGTGTAAATTACCCGATTCAGTATACTTGTCAGTTTGATATGTCTTTGATTCATGTGCATCTGGCAGATCCGGTGTTTGTTGTTTCACGGCCCTGATTTCTCGATGGTCATAATCTTGAGTAGTGCGTGTTTTCAGTTGGTTTAACTCAGTGGAAGGATAGCGGTCCTGCTCGGCGTTTTCCCCATCTATACACAAGCCTAAATTCGTATTGCGCATATGATGTGATAGCGCGGGATCTTGTACTTCAGGTGAAGTACTTGTCTCGGCGTTAGTAATTGCATGGGTAGACTCAATTTCAGACGGCTGCAAGTCGTCATATTTTGTACGAAAAGAACTCAAATCAGGATATGATTGGCTTCCCCTGGCAGTTGCCGTTATCGGAGTTGTTATAATTTTGGGTGACCGGGCAGCAGCAATACAGTTTTGAGAAGGTCCTTCATCTTGGTCTCTTCCATTATCAGAGACTAGTGGCTTTGCGATAAACTTTTTAATCGGCGATTGAGGCGGGGAATTCGGACGAGCGTGAGTGGGGTAGGAAAAGTTGATTGAGCTTCGACTGCCTTGCCTTTCCAGCTCTGGAAGGCTACTCAAAGCTCGGGGGGAGCGAGGGGAACCGGGGCTGCGTGGACCAGGCGATCGACTTGAATCCCCGTAAGGACTAATCGCTCGATAGGAAGGATCATGGCTAACAACTCTTCGATGGGTCATAAAGCCCTGGGGAAGCGGCGGTACAGGGCTAATATCTCTCTCGCTAGAGCCAGTAATTGAACCAGTATGAGCCGGGGGCCGATCTCGAAAACTCCTCGTGCTCATCGAACCAGAGCTACTGCTCCTATAAAGGCGTCCATTCTGAGTAGTGTGTTGTTGAGCCACTTTTCCCTTTGAACTGCTGGTAGACAATTGCCTCTGAAGCATGCGTTTTGTCTGGACGTTCTCGACGGAGGTAGGGGTCGGAGTATGTTTCCGAAGGGCTGCTGCCGCAGCTGCCGTAGATATTGTGGCATTGGCTTGGGAGGCTCTGAAGGCCTGGGCAGCAGCGGTCTGGGCAGACGGTGATGGGTTGGGATTTATGGGCTAAAGGCCATGCGGCACTTGCATCAGTAACTGGGTGACAGGTTTGCATGGAAAAGGGGTGTAGAAAGGGAGGGGTTCCAGAGATTGTGGCCTAATGTAGGACGAGCTCCTAAGCTGCTACTCTATTGAGGAATCCAAGGTAACTCACCGCGTGCGCAGAGGATCTTTTGCGACGGAACATAGCGAACGATTCACTCGCCAGAAAATGATACCACCCATGGGGGAAAGGAAAGCTCGGAACAATGGGGGAATGGATATCGTAATCGGGAGACAAGCAAGCAAATAGACGCTCTAGGAAACTCTTTTGCTGCGTCGACTTGTCAAAGCTTCATTAAGGATTAAAATCTCGTGGTAGTAGAGAAATTAGTTATGATTAGTTCTCAAGGCATCGTCGCGCGCCACGATTCGCCGTCCAACATGAAATAAGTATACTGCGCCGGGCAGCCAAAAAGGAAAAAGATAACGCGATAGATTGGCAGAGGTAATGATCGTGATGATTGTGCGTGTTGGGAGTGGGAGGTGGTGTGAAGAAGGTGAGTTGTCCATGGCAAGCACAGCAAAAAAACAGATGGAGTTTGTCGTTTGCCGTTGGGTCTCGTCACAATTATTTGGCCGGGGTGGCATGACATCAACGGCCTAGTTAAGTTATTTATTAGGAACAACAACTAACTTAACTAGTCAACTCGCCATTATTATTCTAATTAATTCGCCCCAGCTGTCAGCGGCGATTCTTAGATATCGCATTTCCCTACGATGCCAATTATCTTGCCCTAGGAGCTAGCTAGACGGTGAGTCCTCTGTGGGTTTTCTTTAATAATAATGCTTGCTGGTGGTGCTGTAAGTTACTCCGTATTATTTATTATTGAAATGTGAAATAGAGGTTGATATCAAGTCACCTGATAACTAAATATCAACCCCAGCTTCATCCAGAATAATAATACTCTTTACTGTCCATGAGGAATAGAGGAGCATGTTGACTATTTGTCTCGCAGGAATCTAATTTTTGTTCCTGAGACAGAACTCCTCAGAAGACCGTTGACAGAACTTGATTATTTTGTCTTTCGTTTTCCAGCTTCCCCAACCGGCCAACGGGTTGTCATATTGAAACGCCCCCAATTCCATTGATCCCCTCCGAAGGAACAAAAAACAGGGTTTGCTGAGGCTGCACTCCCAACCCTGCCACAGGATGCACTGGGCATTTGCACTTTGCTGCACGAGGGGAGCAGGAGGATGTCTGATTTTGCGATCTATTTGAAGAGGATGGAAACATGAGGACAACCCAGGCCCGTGTTTTATATGCGCCCACAACTGTTTATTCATTTCCCTTTGAATTATCCCCCTGGAAGTCTATGTGGAACCTACGCAGAACTTTGGCTTTTGTCCATGGAAATCCCAAAAACTGCTGTGCAGTTGAGATATGTGGTGGTGATGACTTGGAAACCAGAACTTACGTGGGCTCGTCGGTCGCTTGACGATGGCCCTGGTTAGCTAACTACTTAACTACGCTGTACGCTGTAGTTATCCACTGAACCCGCCTGGGCAGCTTGGAATTTGCCCGGCAAGAACTGGCCCTGGCATTGACCGGGTAGCCGATTCGAGAGTCATAAGGCTGTGTGGGGGTTCGATCCAATTGTCCCGAGGCTTAATCGCCCGTCCGCTTCTGCTCGTCCGACTCTATACAACCAACCACCACTACCACTACTTCTACTCTATAGACAACGTGAGAGTAAAAGGATAATTTTCATGTACTGGCCAGTCCCTTATTCATCTAACATACAACCATAAATTTAGTTTGCTAAATTCAGTTGCGACTGAATCTTAGAGAGCCAGCAATGTCGGCTCCACCGCTCTCTCCGCTTCCCTTCCCGCCAGGGGTTACTTCAAGACAGCTTGACACCAGGCCAATTGGCCTTTCATTCCACATCCTCGAAGCAGGTTATACACCTGACAGAAATCGGCCCTTAATAGTGCTCCTACACGGCTTCCCAGAGATAGCATTTTCATGGCGGAAAGTGATGCCACTGCTCGCCAACGCAGGCTGCTATGTCGTTGCTCCCGATCAACGCGGCTATGGCCGTGCAACCGGCTGGGATAACCGAGATTTTGCAAATGTTGACCTGAACAGTTTTTCAGTAACAAACCTGATCCGCGATGTTATTGTCCTTGTTCACGCCCTGGGGTATCAAAGTGTCAGGTGCTTGGTGGGACATGACTTTGGCGCAGCATCAGCTGCATTCTGCGCTTTGGCTAGGCCTGATATCTTCCAGAGCGTAGTCTTGATGAGCCACCCGTTCAAAAAAGTCCAGAGTCTTCCAAGTTTCCATACTTCTCCGCAGGTCACAGAAGCGCCTAAGGGCGAACAGCCACCCGCTGCCTCAGATATCCATTCGGATCTCGCGTCGCTGAGCCGTAAGCATTACAAATGGTACTACTCAACGCAACCCGCAAGCTCAGAAATGACAAACCCACCCAACGGGCTCCACGAATTCCTCAGGGGATACTTCCACCTTAAAAGCGCTTCATGGTCAAAGAATACCCCCCACCCGCTCACATCTTGGACTGCTTCCGAACTCGCAAAAATGCCAAATTATTACGTTATGCCACTGAATGCTACCATGCCAGAGGCAATAGCAGCAGACATGGCGCAGGAAGATCCATCCGCCCTCCAAGACTCTCAATCCTGGCTGCCAGATAGCGACTTGGCAGTTTATGTATCGGAGCACGGCCGGAACAGTTTCCAGGGCGCACTTAACTGGTACCGAGTGTTCACTAACTCGGATCCGGCGGCGGCCGGCATACGTGATGTTGACCTCTTCGCTGGGAAACGGATGGAATGCCCTATCGCATATATCTCCGGGCGTCAGGACTGGGGAACGTACCAAGTGCCTGGTGCCGTGGAGGCGATGATGACGAAGGACGTTTGCACTGATTTTCGCGGTATGACACTTGTGGATGGTGCGGGGCACTGGGTTCCTCTAGAGAAGCCTGAGGAGGTGGTCAGTGGTATTTTGGAGATGATTCGCTCTTTGGAGTAATGGGTTATCCTTGCTCTACCCTAGAGCAGTCTCGAGGGCTATTAAACATATGCTAATGGCGCATGATTATGATGATGCGGGAGACGTCTTGCCTTCGGCTGTGTATATCACATAGTCGTCACAGCTATATCCCTACAACGGGAGCGGAGTGCTTTAGCAAGATGTATCTCCGTTGGAAATGGAGCTTCCTTGTCTGCGATGTAGGTTTCAAATAAAATACAACAAATCTTTCCCATGAATGGTTCCAGTATATCGTATACCAGGGTCTGTTTGACCCAATCGCTGGCCTATAAACTGAACGAGGTGAATCTTAACAAACCTACGCCTATTACTTTCTCCCAGATCAAATATGCTATTTTATATTTATCAGTATCAGTATTCATTATTCAATACTTCCCCTTCATACCATTCCTAAACCACTAACATATAAAGAAAGGAAGAAAATAATAAGGAGAAATGCATGCGAGATCCTCCAAAAACAGACTGTGCAATTTTATTTTGTGAAATATCACCCACCGACCAATCCATCCACTAATCTATCTATATTCCAGGTTCCCTGCCCCTTTCAACATACAAACCAAATCCATGACCATCTACTTCTATGCTAATGTTGACGCCTTCTTTGTATACCAACTTGAGTCGAAATACTGCAAAACCGGTAATGTTTATTTAGGATATCAAGGTGAAAGAAAATCTAGTAGAAGCGGGAAACTAAATGGTAATCATCACAAATGGCGTCGCGTATTTGTAAATTTCTGGGAAGAGGGATACATGCCATATATTTTTATTTTTATTTTATTTTATTTTAATAAATTACAGCACGTTGTTGGTTGGGTACGGGGAAATAAATATAGCAGCTCGCTCGAGTGAAAACGTCCCCCAATCACTACAAATTGCGTTCCCCCAAGTGGCAAAACGAAGAAAGAAATTACTCTCAAGGGAGAAGAAGAGGGGGAATATATATATATATATATATATATATATATTTATATAACCTTCGGAAAAATAACCGAGACGAGAAATAGCAACTAAGAGCAAAGGGTTCGGATGACCTTGAGTGTAAGAAAAGAAAATTGGTATACAGCCTCAAATTCACCCTAACCATATGAAGGTAGAATGGATTCGGGGGTCCCAATACAAATAGGGAAGAAAATGATAATATAAAATGTGGCCCCTAGTTCAACCTAACGCCAATTTAAAAAAGCAAAAAAGGAAGAAAAACGCTTTGCGGAGGGAGTATAGAAGGGACAAACGGGAGAACAAAAGAGTCTTGAAACGCAAGAAATGGAAAAAATGCGGCGGATTCCAATTAAATAGAATTGTCAGGGTTTACGTTAGTTTGGTTTTGAAAGTTTTAATTTTTAATTTTCATTCTCTCTCCCCACCCTCTCCCCATTCCTATCCATTTTTTAGGCTTAAAACAAGAGTCCAAAGGAGCCGACCAGCAGCAATGGCACAAGAGCATAGCTCATTAGTGATGATGAGGTGGTGGTAGAGGGAGCCCTACTCTCGATATCCATGGCGAATATGTATCTGGCTGATAAGTGCGTGGAGTTGAAGCAATTATCCTTGGTCACCTCGGGGACGTCTTCGGGTTCTGCCAAGGTGATATCGACGCACTATTCAAGTGTTAGTTAATGAAACGAAGAGGAAGAGGAAATTGGGGGGAGGGGGCAGGGGGCAGGGGGAGTATAGAGGGTTTATTTCGCAAAATTTGCGGGTAAAGATAGAAAGACAGACAGGAAGGACGGTGCTGGGAGTAGCTTACATTATAAAGCGCAGCGCCGTGTTGAGCAGTTTCGACGATTTGTATCGTTGCATCATCTCCGACTTTCAGGTCTGCATTCCGCGGCAGCGGAACTTGCGGAAGGCAAAAGGTGCCTGGGTATTCCTGGTTCGTAGGCGCGACTAACTGGAACGGGGCGATCATTGGATGACTCATGTTGGGAGGAATGGTCCCATAGCCCATATTTAGGTAGATAAATGCTGTTTTATGGCCAGGAAACCAGCCAGGCTGGAAGGAAACGGCGCCTCCTTTAATTGGCCATTTTGTTCGATTCTGGGAGGTTGGCATTCCACCACCTAAATCAAGTTTAATACCACTCGTTAGCTACGGGGCGGAACCGATAAAACATAAGGCATGCATTTTTTGAGCCAGCGTTGAGCTGAAGGAGAAATGGGGGTTAATACGGACATGGATAAGCCCATTGCATTCCCGCTGGATATAGCAGTTCTGAATCATTCGCCCCCCTTCCGATGCCCAAACCATTTGTCTCCGTGAAATTTCCGGTGGTATGAAGGTTATTTCCTCTCCATCCGGGGTAGACGATAATAGTGTGAGCTGTAACGGACGAGGCGAAGAGGGCGACAAGAAGGATTGCCCACCAAGCCTCTAGCGAAGGATTTTGGCGCATGATGTGTGGATGTATGTGCAGAGAACGGCAGGATGATATGTGAAATATCAAATATATGTCGCGTTGGCTAAGGGCGAACCCTCGCGACTCGATCTCGAACGGGTTCGGTTTAATCAAAGATGGAGTTCGTAGGCTGATTCCGTTTCACACACACACACACACACACTACCCGGTCTGTCGATATCGATATTGCGGTTCGGTTTAGTCTGCCTGGATAGTGTAAAGAAACAGGGACAGTCAACCGCAGTGCCAGAGACTTAACGGAGAGCGATGAGGTAGTTAAAAGGGGGTAGCAGCTGAGAGAAGTAGGCATTCGGCCCAAATGTCTTGGTAGGTTGTACAGTCCTTAAGAGGGGAAAAACGAGAGAAGACAGGGTTGTCGGTTCGCAGTGCAGTACACCCTTGGCAGGGCATCTGATGGGCTCGAAAATCACCGTTCGACAACAACAATAAATAAATGAACGCAAAGCACAAAGAAGAAAAGAAACGGCAAAAGGGGAGACGGCCCATGGGCCTACAGAAATGGCCCTGTCCAGTCTCTGTCCCTCCTCCATTGATATGAACCAATCAAGGTGAAAAATGGGCCCGGAGCCATTGTGCAGCCCGCCCAGAATAGAGCCCAAAGAAGGATGCATGATTGGCAAAAGTGCCAGAATGCAACAATGCAGCTTGTCACTGGGCGGGGAAGGACATGCCCAGATTTTTGCTTGCGACGGGGATTGTAGGTGAGGCTAGGTAAGCCCTAGCAGCATATCGTATCACACCGTCAACGAATGGCAAGCAGATCTGGTGCCTTGAAAAAACGTGCACTGCGCTCTGACTGGCCGAGTTTGAATGGCTGAAAGTGAAGAACCAAAAGCTGCTGCATAGCGATCCTAGCGTGACTGGCGTATTCAATTCGTTCAGAGCTCTGTCCACATAAGCGCCCGCGCGATGAGTGATCTCCCAGGCATGGACAGGCAAAATGCCAGGGAGGAAGAATTCTTTAGCGCCCGTGAGCTTCACCAGACCGAATTTCCGAGGAGGAGGGTTCTGGTCTTAAGTAGATGTTGAGATTCTTGAATATCGCAACTTCCAGAGCCAGACCAGAACTTGGGCGACAGCAAGGGTGGAAACCCAGGGCGTGTACGGAGACTTTGCAATTGTTAGTTGAGGGCCATTCATGCACGGCGCGAAGGAGTCTTTCTTCATGCCTTTGAACAAAGATTTCACATCAGCAGCCTAGGAGTCAGACGCAGACAGCAGGAGCCGTAAGGGAGGATGAGCGCTCTAAACAATATCATCTTTGAAGAAGCATTAACTTACAGTAGACTTTTGGGGAGAAGATACTGCGAAAGCCGGGGATGAAAAAAAAAAAAAAGAAAACAAAGAAAACAAAGAAAAAAAGAAAATTAACTGAGAAACACAGAACCCCGGACAAACTGATCAAGACTGAAGAAGATCCCTTTGGTGAGGATATTGAAGTTTGTTTATTCAACTACGGAGTAAATAAAAACGATTTACGGCTGCTAAGTTCATGCTTCAGATTGCCTCTACGCAGAATGTCTTCTACCTATAGATCGGGAAAAGCAACTCTCATCAACGGATAGTCGTACCAAGCCAGATGACATACAGATTTTTCCTCGACATGTAAATGAAGTATAATATTTTAACAATCTGTTGCCTTCTGAATCAATGGAAGAGCGAGTTTTCAATTAACCGCCCTAATCAACCTCAATCCTACATCGACAACAGACATTGACTCCGGATATAAAAACGGACCATCGATCTCTCGACTCTTCACTCTTGTTCCCATGTGTCCCCTCTGTCCAATTCTCCAATTCGCTACCCACCTGCGCACTACCCCGGATGCATCAAGTCAATGTTTCTGTGGGATTGTTGAAGAATGTTATATGTTATTGATCTGGCTGGCTACAAAAGAATTTTTATAACCATAAATGCAGCATTGCTGGTTCAAAGGAAAAGTCTAAGGGAAACGGGTGGGAATGCCAGTATGAAAAAAAAAAAAAAAAAAATGTCACAAATTTCGTTCCTCCGATAGTGAAAATGACCACATTAATTTTCATATCTTCGCGGTCCTTTCTCGGTAGTTATCATAAATATGTTGATGTGCTTCCTTCACCATTCCCCTGCGATCCTTACGAGCCTAGCCATTTTGCTCAACTCCAAGGACGCCATCTTTGCATGTCCGATGGAGAGTGGCGGATAGGTCTTAATAGGGTTTCATCAACATTTCTTCGATAACTAACATCTCCGGAGGAGTGGTGCAAGACTGAACATTGATTAAGGCAGAAACGTACGAGAACATATTAAGCCCGAGAGAGTAAGCATTATTATTAGCCTTTGAGAGGGTAACAACAGTAGACAAGGAGACAGAAAAGGACAATATTAATAAAGACTGTCATCTGCTAAAAAGTCAAGATCAGACATTTTCAAATACTTGTCAAAATTGACCTTGATACAATATATCTTTTGAGTAAAGGACATTTGTGATCGATATAATAATATAATACCAACCAGCATGTCCGACAATTCTGACTGGTTCAGCAACAGAAGTTGGAAGCTTTGCAATCACACACATCGTCCATCATCAGTTGCCATGAGAAATGCCCAGCTAAACTAACTCTCAATTTTCTGATGATTTTTAATTGTTGTTGCAGAAGAGTGAGAAAGCCCTGAGGTCTGGTTATTCAGAGGTGGGGTTATACATATATACTGTACATGTACATGTACCTAGGTAGGTAGGTACCTAGTAGTAGCCTTAACTTTGCGACTTTAACAACTCGAACTAGGTATTTATTTACCATTGCCCATTAAAGGCTCAGTGATACAGATGCTCAGTGAAAAATAGTAGTGAAAGCAACAGACAAAACAGAAGTCATGCGCCGCTGGTTCCCCCCCCTCAATATATGCCAAGATAATAACAAAAATAAAAAGAACAAAATCATAGAAGAAAAGTCCTCAGATAAGAAACATGCTAGCTATAATACCAATAACATGGGAGTAGCAAGACACGAAGAAGCCCGAGGGGAAAAGAACAAGCGTGTGGGGTAAATATAACAATAACAATACCAACAACAACAACGAAGAAGAAAAAGGGAGGACGTTGAAAACTGGAATAATGCAACATCGAAGGGGGTAGGCGCCGGTTGCAAAAATGGAATGGGGAATGACAACCAACCAAGCCAACAAGGAGGAGAGAAAAGAGATAAAAAAGCCCAGTAACTTTTTGTATACCCTTCTCGCAGCTCGCTTCGCGTGTTGGTATCATATGCCGGTTTTTCCATCGTCGGGTATGGTGAACAGCACCATATAGTAAAAATAGTATAGTCATAGAATAGGAAGAAGTTCGTGTCGAGTTGGCAAAAAGGCGGCCAGAGTGGAAACGAAGGGGGAGAGCTAGCTAGCTAGCTATATGGTTTGTATAGACAATAATGAAAAAGAAGGAGAACGCTTATCTATCGTACAGTACAGGAAGGGAGAGGAAGACTCAAAGCCATTGTCCGTATTTATATCAATCAGGGAACAAAATCGTAAGGGGATTCGGTTGGGGTTTGGGGTATATAGTAGAAGAAATTGGCGAGAAGGGAAAGAGACGGATTTCTGAGCTATGGGGATAAAATAATCGTGAGTAATCTAGGTGGTCGGTCGGGTTGGGTATCAGGAGAGTGTTTGTGCAGATGTCCATGTAGAGCATGATGTGTATGGAGCAATGAATAAATAGTGAAGGGCTTAGTTTGTCATTTTTCACTTCACTTTTCTTTCAACTCACTTCTCTCCATACTTCCCAAACTCCTGTTGCCACTTGACAAGATTCCTCGTTAGGGCATCCATCATTTCAAGGCTCGTTAGATCCTTAAACTCCTTTTCCTTGGGCTGCGTGCTCCCATTTGTATCCACCTTTTCTGCCACATCAGTCGTAGCTTGATCACCGTGAGTATGGTCGCCATTGGCTATTTGCGCTGCAGCCGCCTTCACTCCAGACGCCAGCTCTCCGCCAGTCCCGCTGATCTGTTCTGGGCTAGAAGCCAAGTCGAGCTGTAATTGCGATATGAATTCAAGAATGGCCGCAACACGCCTCTTCATCTCGTTCATCGTGGTACGTTGCGGGTTCATATATCGTGGTTTACTAGGTTTTCCAGATTCCCCGCCGTTAAGGTAGACACCATTTGCTCCAAGTTGGCCACCTGTAGGGGATTCGCCTGTCCCAGTGTCTCGAGATTGGCCCCGACGAGGAGAGTTGATACTGCCGGTGATGTCGTTGCCGTTTACCGAGTCGCGGTCTCGAGTATACTGATTTCGACCTAGTCGACCGCGGCGGGCTGGGGGACGACCCGTTTTGCGGGTCAAAGGTTTTGTGCTGGATGGCTCGTTTATGACGCTGGACGTGTCAGGGGTGGATTGGGTGATAGTGGGAGGAACCGAGCCCGTCTTTGTTGGCGAGACTGTCTCGGAAGGTTCTTCATCTGTCATTTCTGCATGGTTAATGATGGGTCCGTCGCGGCATGCGAAAGTGCGATATAACCACTCACCATCTTTCCTGCGATCTGAGCGACTCTTTCGTCGGTTTATAGGCTCTGCTGTCTCCTTTTCTGGCTCTTTGTCCGTAGTTTGAGCTTCCCTCTCTCGCTGGATTCTAGCCACGCCTCTAGTCTTTCTATTCCCATTGCCTTCGAGAGAAGTACTGGTGTTGGGTTTGCTTTCGTCATCTGACGGTGGGTGGGATACAGAGTTGCTATGTTTTGAAAGAGATGAGGCAGGAGACCCGGTACGTTGGCGCTTCGCAGCGTGCTTATTCCTGTTGTGCGACTGTGAGTTAGCAGCTTGTACGGTACCAAGGAAAATAAAATACCTCCACTTCCAAGAGCGTTAACATACGCTTCGCTGTCGCTTCGACTTCGTTTGCCTCTACGGCTTCCAAGGTCGTCAGTGATTGATTTGGTGTCTTCCTTGCTCTCCTCAATCGCTCGCCGCAGCTGTTCCTCGTCATAGGCAGCATCACGGCTATTCATAGTCGAGCGGCGCTTGGTGCTGAGGGGCCCTGAACTGCTGCGGGTCTTTTTATCCTTTGGGTTTCGGGAACTGTCGAGGGAGGAGGATCTAGAGGAGGATGAGGACGACGAGCCAACCACTGGTAGATAGCGAGACGATTTTTGGCTGCCTGATCGTAAGCGCGAGGTCCACATCTTCGAAGATGACAATAGGAAATGAAAATGAGTTGTACAGAAGGAATTAAAATAAAATGAAACAATTTTATTCTTTGCATTTCAGTGTAGTTTTTGGGGAAGGGACTCGAAAAGGAAGAGTGGTGGTGGTTATTTTGAGCGCACAAGTGGGCGAACGCCTCAAAATACGCAACAATCGGAGGGTAGTGAATGAGATAACATCCAAAAGGTGAATAAAAACCCGGGTGACGGGATAAAGGGAACAACTCAGTTTTCACTCACCCATTCGAAGCTGTAATGATCTTGTGTAGGTCTTTCCGACATTCTTCACAGAAGTATTCATCAGGACTCGATGCCACTTCCATGATCCCCACGCAGCCTCCATGCTGCCAGACCTTACAGGAGTCGCATTGGATGAACAAGCTCCCAGGCTCGTCGGACTGCATGTCCTCAGCTGAACCTGAAGCTCCCTGGGTCGAGTCCTCCTTCATACCCTGTTTTGTGGCGCTAGCGCTGCCTGCGTCCTGGTAGATCAGCGGAAGCCCAGGGTAGTCCTGCTGCCCACAGAGACATCTAGTTATTTCTTCTTCATCCCCCTCTTCTTCATCATATCCATCGCCCGGAGCTTGGAGGGCATCGTCTGGTTCGCCGTTGTTTCGGCCTCGATGGCGATGCCGCGTTTGTGGGAGGTCGGATCTAGCGTTTGGCTCGAGGTCATCGGTGGACTCGGAGCGTTGGATGGAGGGTCTGCGGGGGGAAGAGATTATGTTATTGGAGCGCGTGCTCCTTTCGGCACGGCTGAGTGAGTTTGACGAACTGGATGAGTTTGTGTGCTGCATTGCGGCGGATGGTTGGGATGTTCGAGCGCGAGAGGAACGACGTGGAGTCATGACTGAATGGATCTATCTCCTGCTGCAATGCAACTTGCGAACACAGCCTTCTAGCAAAACATAGAGATGCCAGAAGCCGTCACGATGTCAATTTTCTTGTCGAAGATAAAATAGAATGGCCGTTCGGTGTGAAAACGAGTAGCTGCTTTATTGGGGGCGGGATGTGGTTTTGGTTTGGGGTTGTTCGTAGCTAGGGGAGCTGGACTGGCAATTGGAAGCAGATTTGGTAGATCAAAAAAGAGAGCAATACCTCCAGATATACCATAGATGTCAACCTGAAGCGCTACATGCTCTGAAGAGGTCAGGGTGGAGGGAGTGGCCGATAGTTAGCGTGAGGGTTGAGGAGAAGATGCAAAGGAAAAGAGCGGGCGAGAGAGAGCGAAACCTTGGTCGGTCCAGCGAGGGTTCGCTAGTCCTCGTTCTTCCCCGCGCGCCCACGCCTGCGCCAACATTCCAACACCACGCGCCTTTAATTAATCAATTATTTTTGCTGGACTCGTACACCATTATCTTGACGCTGCGATGACCACGCCGCAGCAGCCATATTATGATAGTTGATTACAATCTCCAGAGCAGCAGATGGCGTTTCTCTTCTCTTGGCCCTCGGCAGGCTTCTGAGTATTTGGTACTCCGTTGACCGTGACTTCTCCTGCGCTGATTTGAAAAATATGCACAAAAGTGCCAAATCTCTGCAGGACTTGAGCTACATACCTCCGTCTCGTCTTCTCCTATTAATTGCTTTGTCTACACTAACAATTACGAGACAGCCTCCGGCATGGATAATATGTTCCGCTCTACGCTGACCTTGGGACATCCATGTACATGTCTAGCAGATTGCTCTCATCGATACAGCAGTATTGAAACTAGTGCGATGTAATGTTGGATGACATTGATCCTGTTACCTAGTGCTGCTGTCTCTCTAATACTATTGAAGTACATTCTAGAGCTCCCATGTGCCGGATCCCACCCACTTCGAAATCGAGTTCGTTGCCCTCTATATCCTTCTTCCAGGATTTGGAGCCCAGTGATTAGTACAACCAGAGTGGACAGGTTGAAAACACGCCAGGGTTTCCTGGGTTATCATACGATATATACCCGCACGGCGGAAGATTAGCTGGGTATATATGGAGGACAACTTGCAGATGGCATACGGACAAGGCGGGCTGCTGGTAAAGTCGGACTACATGGCCAAGACGAGACTTTCTGGTGCGTCATCCGCGGTTGATACCGAAATAAGAAGCTAATAGGTTCATCCCGGCCAAAGCAACTGGCTCGCGCCCTCTCATTCAGGTGAAAAAGGATGGACATGGGAAGTTGTACTGGACCTCTTCAAGCACCAAAACCTCTACATGCCGCGTAAGAGACTCGCCTCGCGAACAATTTCTGTTTTGCAAATATCTGGATTTTAATTGGAGAGTGAGGGAACATATCCAAGACTGCTCCATGTGAGCGTATGGCTCCAACGGGCGCTGGTAATCTTCAGCTCATATCGCTCAGTAGCCCAGCCCAAGAAAACCGGCGGATCGTGTGTCCCCATTGGCCGTGTATTGTTGGCATTTTGCTGTCCTCTTTTCCCCCTTTCCCCTTTGACTGCTGGGTATAGGGAGAACACGTATCTGGGAAGGATGAAAAGTTTGTTGAGATGGAAACTTTGCCACGACAACGGGTGCTGCTGACATACTTGGAACGGGGTATTTTGGGGAATACACAGATTGTAGACGCGCACCAACGTAGATAGGTAGACATATATGTTAGATACCTGTAAAAGAAACCAACCGGTGAAGCAAATAACCCAAGTCATACAAGCATCTCCCCGTTCGTGATGCCAGGACTGCCGTTGCTGGTGTGGTGTCGTTATGTCTGCTCGAATTGGATTCGGAATTCTGAGGCGGCTTCCCAAAGCGGCTAGTGCGGCTGCCGTCTTTAGTTACCGTGGACCGTTCAAGGGTTGCCAGCGCCAGAAAGCTCAACACTCAATTACATCGACCTCACCAACGACCACGCTTCCTCCCAGTGCCGACAACCAACAACTCGCCAGTGTTCTTTGCCCTACCTATAAAGGATCTCAGTCTTGACTTCACGCCCCGTCGATTAGCTTGTTGGATTCAGCTGTATTATTGGAAATATATACACGCATTATATATTACACCCAGGGCCTGCATTCCTTTTGCCCGTCGACTTGTGGATCCCTTGTCCATATTTGTCATCTCATCTTTCCTCTTCGTTCTGGGCAAGTTCTCTCCGATCTCTCCTCTGCTAAGACATAGGTTTATCTGCATATATCTGTTTACTGGATGGACCCTGGGCTATTCAAGTTCTACGGAAACTAAGTGCTAACATCGTGGTTCTCCAGTTCGATTTTGGCTTGTCTCTCTCATTCGATACTTTCCCCCTCCCAGTTCCAACCTGAAAGTCGTCCCCCGAAACACACATTATCGCAACGGCATCTTGAAACCGAGCAAACCTGGATATCTTGTCTAAACTTGGATTCACGAGGTTGGAAAATGGCTGCTACACTGAGTATGTCACCTCCACTCTAGTTGACCACCGTATGCCTGATCTTCGGGTGGTGATGTGCTGTCCTCAGGTTTGGTGGGAAGGGCAAAAAAATAAAATAAAATAAAATAAAAAACTGAAAATCATTTCCCACTCCTCCTGGCCCGGGGAGCTTTATGGGAAACCAACGCAAATTCACTTACTGCAATTTTGTGATCTTTGGATGCTGATGCGGTCATCACGTAGGCGGGACGTACACTTCCGCTCCTGACACTCCGTCTCCAGTGTTTCCAGATCGTTTGATCCGCCCCCTACCGAAGCGTCCTATCCGCTCTCGCTTATCCCACGAGGCTGCTGAGTCTATACTTTACCCACCTGCCCCGCCTGCCACCCAGGTTTTCTATGGTTCATATTCTGGCAATGGTGATGTCGTTAACGATGCCAAGGTTTACGTGCAACAGACTAATTACGGCCACGAACAAAGTCCTGAAGGTGACCACCACCATCCATATGATGATGGCGTAGATAGTGGTGATGAAGACGGCCCCGTGGTTGTCCGTCGGAGCGGAGGTTTTCATCGATCGTCCTTGTCCCCCACGGGCGAAAACCGCCAGAAATACGCCAAGCATCTGGAAGACACTCCTACCAAAACCTCTTCGTCTGGGCCCGACGGCTATGATGCTTTTGAGAACACGAACAATAAAAAGAAAAGGAAAATCCCGACGTCCGGTAATCCTGGAAACCATTCGAACCTATCTGCCGATATGATGACACTGGGAATTTCGTCGAATGGTGGGAGTACTGCGTCTCTAGATGACGGGAGCGGTACTGGCTCGTATTACGGAACTGGGAATCCCGCTTCGCCCGCGGGGAATGGCATATCAGGGCCCGGACGAGGACGTTATGGGAGGAATGTTAGCCGTACAGTCAGCGGAAGGACGCCTCTCGCTACCCATAACCCGAATGCTTGGTTGGGAGGCCGATCCGGAACAGGGCGCAAGGAAGTTACAACTCCTCTTGGCCAAGAATCAATTGGTATAGCTTGACTTTCAGTATTCATTGTTGAGAACGGGAAAAAATATGCTGACAAAAAAGTCCAAGGTGAATACCCGAACCATTCTGACCAGGGCATCATATCTGCGGCAATAGCCAATGCGGCCGCACTTTCTTCATCGGCGCCACAGGGGCAAGATAATACGAGCTTATTAGACCAGACAAGAAAGCCCTCCCCAACCAAGACACAATTCACCTTCACCTGCGAATCGGATTCGTCCAAAGGGATGGCCTGGCAAACCCAGAATTCCTATTCAATTCAACAGCAACATCGGGCGAGCAGTCAGCCACTTTCTGCAATGGCACCTGGTCAAAGGGGTTTCTCTACTCAGGGGACGCAGACGAGCCCGAACATGGCGTCTCAAACAAATCACCAAGGCCAGGCACAAACCCAGCACGCGTCGCAAAGCGCAGGACAAAACGCCATTCCGGGCAAAAAATCACGACGGTCCCCCAGCAGCATATATGCCTTGGCGGCTCGTCAACGTCGGCTACAGCAACAATACGCAAACCTCCACCACCCCCCGAACATTGACGAGATTTGGATATGTGAGTTCTGCGAGTATGAAAGCATATTTGGCCGGCCGCCGGAGGCATTGATCAGACAATATGAAATTAAAGACCGGAAGGAGCGCCGGCGGCTTGCAGAGAAGAGGAGGCTGCTCGAAAAGGCTAAGATGAAAGGTCGCAAGGGTAAAAAGGCAACCAAGAATGCTGCAAAGGCCGCAGCTGCACATGCGCAGCAATCGGTAGCTGCACATCAGCAAGGATATGACCGACAACACCACCCCGGGGGCGACCACGACCCCACAGGCCAAGGAGGAGGGTATGATGATAATTATATAGGTGATGAGTACGAAGACGAAGTTTCAGCACAACACGCACACGCTGCTCCTTCCGTACCTCCGCCTAGTGCGGCCAAACAAGCAGTGCCCGCCAGCAATCAACCTAAAGCAGCTGCAGGGAGTACCACATCGGGCAAAGGTGTAGCCGGGGGCGGAACGGTGCATACTGGGTGATGGCTCGCGGTGTGGCGTGGCATCCCTAGGCATGCGCAGATGTTGTCTGGATACTTTTTTGGACGAGACAAGTCGGAAATGATATTTCAATCCAACACCACCCCGTCACCTTCCACCTCCTCCACCCCCTCCTCCCACTGTCCCAAAGAAGGACCTCCAGAGCGATCACGTTGTCCTCCGCTGCGCCACATTGTCCCCTTCCCATCACCCTCCCTCCCCATATTTGTTATGGGGAGTGCCTTTCTCTTTTACTTTTTGTTTTACTTACCCCATTATTCATTCCCCATAGATAACTAACTAGATAACGTTACCCTTTTCTCTTCTTTTTCATTCCCTTTTTTCCTTTTGTTTCTTTCCCTTCCCTCCTGCACAGAAATGCTTTTTTAGGTTTTGTTGTATGGCATGAACCATCACCCGCTCATATTATTTACCATCATCATGCTGTCGGTTTTGTACGTCTCTTTTCTTCATTTATTTATGGATCCCTTGTCTTGGTCAATTGGTCATCACATCACCTCGTTCTTGCATGGCATTTGACCTTTCCACCCCTTATTTAATTACACTAAATCCTTCCCCCCTTCCCCCCCCCTTCCCCGTCTCCATTTTGGAACATTGGTATTTTGTTGGTTTGTCTCACCCCCTTTTTATGTACTCTTGTAGGTACTATCCTGAACACACCCACACACCCACACACCCACACATACCTGCGCACAAACACACAGCAGGGGTATTTGTTTTTCTGGTTTCATCAGCGCATCCATACACGCCCATTTGCAGAGATTCCATGGCCCTTGAAGCTTTTTTGTCATATGACTTTAGCGACCATTTTGACATTTTTGGCGGAACGAAACGAGTGGAGTGCGTGTATTCCCATTTTTTTTTAAAACCAGGAGAAAGAAAAGAAAAGAAAAAGAAAGTTATAAGCTCTTGTATACGCTTGTACCGCTCTATCAAAGCAGACCGGTGAAGCGAGTGAGAGGTTTTTAAGAATATGGAGATAAGAGAATTGATCATCGCCTAGTTAATTCTTTACAGTGCCTTTGCTAGGCTCTTCTTTTCGTTTTCTTTTTTTTTTTTTTTTTTTTTTTTTTTTTTTTCTCTCCTTTTTTCCTCATCTCTAGCTTCCCCCGGTCCATCGATCTTGAATAGTTCTTCCATGTCTATTTTTATTGTTGGATCATGGAGAGAATGGGATGAAGGAGCCAAACGCTCGCAGGGCGAGCCTGGGATAAGCCAATGACATATTATGGCCCGGAGTCCGCAGCCAGCGAGCGGCTCATGGTCCCAGGCAGAGTCAGCCATTATGGAAACTAAGGAAGGGCTTGGTAGTTAGGCCGGATCGGGTTGGGTCGGGTTGGGTCGGGTTGGGGGTGATCTGGGATGATGGGATGAATGCGTAAGGGACGGGAAACGCAAGATTCGAGTCGAGAGGGTTGGGGATTGGGAGATGGAATTGGAGCTGGAGCTGGAGCTGGAGAGGGGAAATCCCCAGTGCCCAAAGAAGCGGGAAGAAAGGAAGAAACTAGATCTTCTACAACTCAAATAAGTGAATAAATATATAAATAAAAGAGGGAGCAAGGAAGGAAGCAAGCAAGCAAGCAAGCAAGCTTTTAGGCTTGTTCTTCATATCCTCCTTTTCGCTATGTAGTTGAGTGATATAATAATCTCTTGGTTTCTGTTCGTTTGGCAGACAGAACCTTGCATGGGGATTGTTGACTTCGCAAAGCATAAGGTAGAGTGAAAAGATGTATAAGTTGAAAAAGAAATAAGAAGAATGAGTGAATAAGAAAGAGAAAAAAAAAAGAAAAGAAAAGAAAGAAAGAAAGAATGGGAGAGAGGGTGAACAGTGAATCACTGTCAACAGGAAAATACCCATTCTCGCTTGTCAACTTATGTCCCATCCCAGGCTTCGGTGGGCGTTAAATAATAACATTAGTTATAGGGAGGAAGAATCAATTGAATTGTGGAAGAGTTAATAACTAAATAACTTAAGTTGTTGCATCTCCAAGGTTGTTTGTTTCATGAAGCAGCTTTCACAATAATCCTCACTCTACCAGCCAATTATTAGACAGATAAATACACTATTATTTATTCCATCTGAAACTTCTTTGCCGCCAGCAGAACTTGTTCACCATCCCAAGGCGCGTAACATCATCATCATCATCATCATCATCATATTCCCCCCCGCTGGCTGTGGCCTAGTCGCCGGGCGCTAATCAAATCACCTTCGACTTTTTGTATCCGCAGCTCACAGCCAACCGATGCTGTCTCCAACTCCAGGACCACAAACAGCTTCTGTTTCTTTCTTTAGCATCTTCGCATCTGCGATCTACCGGATGTTCTTCAGTTGCTGCAAGCTGCAACTGGGGAGGAGAGCGGGGGATTGGATTGTCCGTTCTGTTTCATGTTAGACACGATTTGCTTTTTAACATGGTTTCAATGTGTTTTTTTTTTATTATTATTATTTTTATTTCAATATATGTACATTACTTTTTGCCCTTGAAGCGGGAGAACTTGGACATTCAAAGCATGATTCGCTCCTGTTACACGCTCTGGCGCTGGAGATATCTTTGTTTTACCTGCAACTGTCTGGATATCAACTTACAAGATATATAAAGATCCCGCTCTGCGCTGGATTCAGACTCTCTTTGATTCCTTCAGGAAACAAATTCATCATTGTATCAGAAATCTTCTCTCTTTGTCCCTTTTTTTTTTTTTTTTTTTCCCTTTTCCTCTTTCTCTTTTTCTCTTCTGTCTCTCTGTCTATTTCTCTTTCTTTCTCTCTCTCTCTCTCTCTCTCTCTCTCAGTTCTTATCGAACTTCTGGTCCCCGCTTTCCCTCATTATATCTCGTCCTTTCTATATATCGCGTTCTCTCGGCTCTATTTAGTCTGTTGTACTGGGTACAACACTTCTCCGCTCATACGTTTTTCTCTTTTCTTTTTTCCTGCTAGACATACAATATACATTGCATTTTGGAGAAACAAGGGGGGATTTAATATCCAAGGCCTAAAGAAGAAGAAGAAGAAAAAAAAAAAGAAACAGGAGAAAAGAGTGCTGCGCACCTTATTTCCCTTCTATACGAAAACCAACTTTTCCGCCTAATAGCAACATCGGGACATCGACCCATACATACACGTTCATACATACCTGCGAAGGTATCCATAAACAATCAGCAAACCATTCACTCGGGCACGAAATCCAGGGACAATAGCCCATTCGCTTTGCATTGTGGGGAAGATTCCAGCAAGAACACCCGCAGCTATTAAAGAGATTCCCAAGAGGATCAAAAAAATAGCCATTCACCCAGGCGATTGAAGACCCCAACACTGTGTATAAAGCACGATACTTCCAGGTCTTTATTCCTCACACCCCTCTAATACGTTCTCAAATCAACATCGCACCGCGAGAGCAGGGTCTGGAACCACAGAGAGCTCCACTACCTACCCCGTCCATCAACCCATCAGCGCACTGTCGAAAAAGAAACCCACCACCATCTCGAAGGAAAACCATGACTATCAAAGCTCTCATCCTTGACGGCGTCCGGAAACGCTACAGCGTCGGTTCCACAGTCGGCACGGTTGTCGGATGCTCGCTCCGCTTCCTACAGTTTGTCTTTGCCATCGCTGTCATCGGCCTGTACGCGCAGGACCTTGTCAAGCAGCGCAAGGATGGCGGTGGATATGACCCCAAATGGGTACGTTTCTCCCACCTCCCCCTTTTCCTATTTTTTTTTTTTTTCTTCGATATCATATCTAGACAAAGACATCTATCTACCTCTCTACCTAGGGGTAGATAGATTCCTCTGACCCTTTCCTCCGCTAACATGCCAAATCAAAAAAAAGACCTACGCCACCTCCCTCGGCACAATCTCCTCCCTCTCCGCCGCCGTCTACTTCACAATCCCCCTCGTCATGCCCGCCTTCTCCCTCCTGCCCACCGTCAACCTCCCCACCCTCGTCTACGACAGCATCCTCAGCATCCTCTGGCTGACCCTCTTCGGCATCTTCGGCAAACTCTACATCACCCGCGACGCGCCGGAGGGCCACGTGGATACCATCCGCATGAAGCATGCGGTCTGGGTGGATTTGGCGAATTTGGCGCTGTGGACGGCCACCGCCGCCTGGGCGGGTGTTCGGTGGTGGAAGAGTGGAAAGGGGCGGAGACGGGAGGAGAAGGAGAGTGAGAGTGAGATGGGGGAGGTGTGAGGAGGTTATTAATTGGATGCTCGCTTGTGTTTCGCTTTTGTTCTTTTGTCTTGGGTTCTTAGTTTTTTTGGAGGGGGTTCGGCTGGATTTTTGAACTGCTCTTGTTATTGTTGTTGTTACCCACTAGCTCTTTTTTATTTTATTTTTTATTTCTTAATTTTTTTTAAAAAACCTGTCCTTGATTATCTGGCATACTAAGGGCGTGGGAATTGACTAGGTAACTAGGTCTAACTACTGTCTGTATTATGTTATTTTATTATTTTCTGTTTCCCTCGCATTTCCCCCTCCCTTTTAACTACGTTCTCCCAACTGGTTATTTTCTTTTTGTTTGTATCTGGGTCTGTTATTGGACCCCTTTTTTCTCTTTTCAATTATTACCCATTTGACAGGAATCATGGGCCTATATTCTTAAAAACTTAATATGACAGACTAGTTTTGTCTTACGAACGCTTGACTGGATGGGATGATGGATGATGGATGATGGTGCTGTCCCCCCCCCCCCTTAAAGTAGGGTCAGGTCATGCGGCGCAACATTATAAAGTGTCCTCACCCAATAAATAAAAATATCTTAATGCACACGAGTCTCTGTGTACAAAGACATTGCAGAGCTAAGCTCAAAACAGAAGACTCTGCAAGATTGATTTTACAGCTTATTAATAAAAGAGATAGAACTGTAACTACAGTGAAAGCATGTCTCTAAAGATGAAATAAGATTGACTTGAGAATGAGTTAAATAATGATATAGATAATTGATGAAAGACTGAAGAGAGATCTGCAGAACTGAGAAATGAATTAATTATCAAAGATAATGACTGCAGCTGTTTTCTTAATTAAGTTAAGAATAAAGTTAATAAGAGATATTCTCTATAATATCTGATAATACAGTAAACTCTTTGAATAATAGTTTTCTTTTTATAGACTACTGTTAATGAAGATATATCAGAACTATGAATCTCATAGTAATAAAACTTAATCTCAGATAATATATCTATTTCAATAGACTATTCACAGACTGTAAGAAATCTTACTTCTTACAGATTCTTTATCTCTATTTTCTATCTCTTATATAATTAATAGAGTTAGTAGCTTCTGACTACACTGTCTATACATAACTATATAGACTGAAGTTCATGAATACTATTTATAACTCAGCTTGAATACTATTATATATTTAACTTCTATATTTTATCTTTCTATCATGAATACTTCTAGTAGTTAATAGTATATATTATATCAAGCTGTAAATATCTGAATAATTGTCTGTAAGCATTTATTCTTACACAGACTTAAGAGACTACTGTTAATTATATGAAGTATTAATATATCTAGAATAATAGAGAGAGTTCAGACTTATTTATCACAGAATCTGTAACTGTAGAAGAATCTGATTTCACTGTATATATTTATTTACAGTTCTACACAGTGTAAAGAGATAATCAGTGATAGAAAAGATATAATAAGAGAAGATTATAATGCCTGAGTTCTCTGAGTGTAGTATTGAAGACAGACAGCTGTAGAAGTAGTAGAACTGTAGAATACTGTAAAGAAATAAATTAATCAAGAGACTGATTTTATAAGCAGTGAACACAGGCTTTTGACACATTATTCATTCTTGAGAATCTATGAGAGATGATTGATCAGATGCATTATCTATTCAAGAATCTGTACAGAGTAGATGATATGATAGTGCAATGTCATGGGATTGCGCTTCACTTAATTCTACACCAATCAGTGGGCTGTATTCGCGCCAAGAACCCCAAAAAGGAAATTCTCCACTTTTAATGACCAGGGTTTTCATCATATATTTGCTTCGCTTCGCTCCGCAAATAATATAATGGGGTATTTTCATCACCTGCCATGCACAAATTCTATGGTATTTCTATCGTGTTTAAATAATATAATATAGTAGGGATGAAGCTGGAGGAAGGAAGGGCTCAGGCTGCTGCTATCTCCCCGTATTTAAGCCGCCACACCACCACACAACCAGCCAGCCATCCAGCTAGCAAGCCAGTGCAAGGAAACGACAGGAACGGTTAGAGTAAAATGCCTAGGAGGACTGAAGTAGTAGGTAGGGACGGGTAGAATGGAATCGACGGAGGTCAGGCGCTCTTTTATAATTATGTTATTATATTATAATCTCGTTCTATGAAAAGCTCTTTTTTTCTTTTTTTTTTTTTTTTTTTTTTTTTTTGTCTTTCCAGTTTGGTGAAGAGATTGAGTAGGGTATATTATATATATATATATATATATATACGCTAATTATATGATTATGATGAAAATTGTAAGGAATAGGTCATCTACGCAGTGCCCAGGTTCCCTCCCTCCCTCCCTAGTAAGTAAGTAAGCTGAGCGAAGATATCAGGGATTGAGGGGCAGATAGATCTGATCTGCATCATCCCCTGCTTGCTTCGATTGGAGGTTGCCTTTTTTTTTTTTCCCCTCCTTTGCTGCGTTCAGGGGTTTATCGGTGGCGTGCGTCGAGGCCGGCTAGCTAGATAGATAGATAGGCGAGCTGGAATGATTGGAATCCTGGCCGGCTGCGAGGTTTGGTTGTGTCTAATCCGCATATTTTTCTCTCGGGGTCGAAGGCGAGGGGTTGTTTTCATTTTTATTCGAAACTTGAGGAGAGGGGGAGGGAGGGAGGGGGGGGGAGGTAGGTATGGATGACTTTTTCATTCGTCGCCGCTGCGCACCCCCAATTACCCCCTTCACCCCGCCGGTATTTCACACTCGTTTCCCCTGTTTCTGCATCGTCGCACTCAACTTCCTCTCCCGCTCGATCATCTCGCTTAACTGACTCTGCTACTGACCCAGCGATGGTCTGCTGGATGCAGGCACGCCGTGCTGATGCGGCGGCTGCGCCTGTGATGTGGATGGCGAAATTGAATTCGCGGGGTCATCATCGCTGTCGATATCCTCCCACTCCCCGTCCTCGTCGTCCTCTTTCTGGACATAATCAACCACGACTGCTTTGGTACCGGCACCATTGTTCCGGAACGGATGTTGCTTCTGTGCGGAGGAATGGCCTCCTCTTCCTTCCTTAACCTTTCCCCGGCCTCTAACCGCTTGGACACCCATAACCGGCCCTACGTCGCCTGATGATTGAAGCTTCCGAGAGCGCACGGTGTCCGGGTTTCCCGAGACGACGGTTGTAGCGCTTGCCTTGATATCGGCTTGTGTTAGCAATGAGCTGCCTAGGTTAGTGAACGACGGGTTGCGCGACTCCTGTAGCCGTTTTTCAACAAATCGGGAACGGAAATCCTTTTCTACGAGGGAGACTTTGGATGGTTGCGTCGGTTGCGAGGTCGGGGAGCTATTGCTCCGCTTCTGTTGTTGCGCATGCTGCTCGTGGATAGGGTTGGCTGCTATAGCAGCAGCAGGATGTGACGTGGGGTTTGAGGTTGGGCCTGGTCGTTGCATTGCTGGGCCTAGCCAGGGGTATGGCCTTGAGTTGGGGGTAGGGGTGGGGCTTATGGAGATTGCGGATTCTAGAGATATAGCAGGCATTTTGTAATTAGTATGATATCTAGGGTTGGGCCTGTATAAATAGTTTCTGTAAAGCAGAGATTAAGAGGGAGAAAAGTAAAAGTTTCTCCCACCGTTGGGTATGGGATATATCTGCCGTCTAGGTGCTGATGGGCCATACAGGTCGGGTGAAGCTCTGGTTTCCCCGGAGGATGCGGGGGTAGGCGAATGTCTTGTAGGTGGGGGATCCAAAGGTGGCTGAGAGATATTTTTCCGCATTGGCACCGGCTCCGGTTCCATAGAAGTTATATTTGATGCAAAAGTCGCCTTTTTCCTTCGTGGCTTCTCCGACACGGATTCTCCCAGAGGGTCTTCGAAAACCGCAGTCGGTGATATGGACAGAGATGTATTGCTTCCCGTGAAACGATCAGTGGCACCGGCCGTAGAAACTCCGGGAAGCCTCTGGGCATCGTTGGAAGCCTGTCGCGGCTTCTTTAAGATAGAAGGTAGTAATGGCGCCCGAGTTGCATTTACCGAAGGTTTTCGGGATACATTTGGAGTACTTTTGCAACTAGTTCCCGTTGGGAGCTTCTGCGGCTGGGCGCTCGAAGTAGATGGAACCGCGCGCCGTCTTGATTGGATCCGCGGTATCGAGGGTGAGATCTAATAATAATATCTATCAGAACGAGATCTCCCTTAAATTCATCTAGCCATGTGGATGAATGTACTTCTCTTAACCCGCCTGGACCCATTCTGGTGATGCTCTCTCCTTCAGAAATATGGAGGAAGAGGCCGGCTAATGTAGTACCTTGTATAGTACGTAGAATGACATTGTTGCTCCATATTCTCCAGAATAGATTTTCCAATCGCCTTCCTTCATCTGCTTTCATCGTAGACCTGTTTGTGGTGTAGACTACATTGAAAAAAAATGTTAGAATATATATATATACAAGAGCTTGCTGTCTTCTGCCATTGTTTATTCGCGGATTGCTTTTTCTCATTGTGTCTTAAACCAAAACATAAATATCTTCTTTGCTTTGTGGTGGTTTTCTTTCGAGAGCATAGACAAGGGGAAGTAAGTATCCTTACCTCGCCATAGTTTTGCAAGATCCTCAGCATCCACACCGCCAAAGCTCTCGATTTCGGAACTAATGCGCTCGGAGTGTAAGACGATGCCTTTAGGCAAAGCTTCTGTCATTGTAACTAGCCACTAAGAAGACAAAACCCGCCAAAACAGATTCGCAAAATCCACTTCTTTTCGGATTGACAGCCTTGGAGCTGAACTCTCTTCATCGAAAGAGGAATAGGCAAAATAAAACGAGCCGTCACAGCACACAAACACGGAAAAGAGAGCAGTAAGTAAAGGAAGAAGAAGAAAAAAGAAAGAAAGAAAAGTTAAGTGAGCAAAGAGGAAGAAATAAAATAAAGTAAAGTAAAATAAAATAAAATAAAACAGAAAATCTCAACAACAGACGGGGAGAGCGGGATAATCGCCACTGGTCAGCTGAGCCTCATGGTTCAGCAAGGGCACTAGGCGATGGAGGCAAAGCATTCCACAGCCGGGCACATGCAACGGTCCAATCTGTAAGGCGTGGACGACACAGACGTGGGAACAGGCAGCATACGGTCACATCCGGTCACACAGGGGCGAGGAGAGGAGGAAAAATCAAAGGGAGTTGGAGTGGACAGAGAAACAGCTCGGCGTAGGAGGTGTTTGGGGATAAATAGGTAGGGAATCCGATTGGCTTCACGTGAGCCTGTCCAGGTGACCGCGTGGAAGGGGCGCCTTTTGCAGGGACTTATGAGATAGAGAGATGGGATAGAGACAGAGAGAGAGAGAGAGGACAGAGAGAGAGAGAGACCTAGCTAAAAGGTTAGACAAAGGAACAAAAAAGACATGCGTGTTTGTTGTTGGAGTTATGGAAGATGAAGAGACAATGTGATTTGTTTATTATTATTATTATTTTTTTTTTTTTTTTTATCGCAGTTGTCGGTGAGCTTCGATCTCCTGGCGAGCACACTTTCACTGAGCGGAGCCGGGAGGACCGACCCCAGCAACGAACGACCTTGGAACCTAGCGGAGATCAGAGATGAATGAGCGGTAAGCTGAAACAAAGAGCGCCAGATCAGATCAGACCATCAAGTGGCAAAGTAGTTAGCGGTAGAGAGCGAGCGGGAATGGCGAATATTAGCCTGGGGGGGGGGGAGAAGATGAAAGAAGATGAAGACAAGGTGAGGTGAGGGCGGGCGGAAGAGTCGAGGAGTCGAGATCGAAATCAATAATAATAATACGGCCCAAGCTAGCAGCTAGTGAGCTATGTAGTGATGTATTTATTTATGTAGGTATTTATTAGTTGGCGGGTCATGTGGCCTGGTGGCAGCGGGCGAGCAAGCAACAATAATAATAAACAATACGGGACGAGTCAATCATCAATCATCAATCAATCAATACTGTAATAAGAGAACGCCGGACGATGGCAAAGGACTCTCACGGGGGATAATAACGATAACATGCAGGAAAAGAAACATGGCTACCTTAGTTCTATGTCTAATCCAAGCATCAAAGGGGCAAATAATCTGGGGAAATGGCGTTATTATTGTGTTGGGATCTCTTCCCTGTGTTTTGTATCACTGACATAATAACTACGGATTAATTACACCCGGGTGTGAGGCCGATGATGATGGTCAGTAGCATCTTAACCAATGAAAGTCATGGTTTAGTTATCCAAAAAAAAAAAAAAAAAAAAAAAAAAAAAAAAAAAAAAAGGCATCAATCTTGCTTGGTCCTCTTTTGTTTTCCTCCCTGGGCGAAGTGTGCTCAACATCTTGCTCTTTCATCCGGGGGATCCGGGGATCCATAATTATTAGTTATATGTAAATCGACGGGAGCAACGGCTGCTGGAGACCTAGGTGGATCCGATTAAGCAGTCTGGACTCTAGAGTGAGTGAGTCTAGAAGGAAACCAGCAGGACGACGCCTCCGCAAGTGCTGTGTCTCTGTGTGTGTGTGTGTGTCTTCGTCGCTTAGCAGCGTAGGTAGTTAAAATAACGTACTGGTTATGCAGAATTTTCCACGTTGCTTCTAGAACAAACACTCACCTCCCCTGTCCGTTTGTTGTTTCAGTCAGTCAGACCGCTGGTTGGGGGGGGGGAGACACGCCGTAAGAAAAATAGAGGAGGCTTGATTACTCTTGCGTGGTAGTTAGCTAACTGGTGAACCATTACGGAGTAATCCTGGGCGTTGACATCCATAGAAGGTGGCGAGAAGAGTCAATGAGGAGATAGATATAGGCCATGGCAACTCACTCAAGCAATGCCCTATTCCTCCTATCTCCTGGTGGTGACCTCTCCTGTCCGCCAGATCTCTCAAATTCCCGCTTTAGGTCCGGAATTCAGTTCTCTAATAACTACCTCTCTCGCCTTTTATGTACTCCGTAGTAACTTATGGATGGAAGATCGTGAAACGAAGAGAGATGTAAAATAGCTGCCATTGTTATTTCCGGGGCAGGCAGCGGGCGTAACCCATTATTATTGATGTTCTTGTTGTTGTTCTTGTTGTTGTTGTTGCTGTTGTTGTTGTTGTTGTTGTTGTTGTTGTTGTAACTCCGTCTCCTTTCCGTGGTACGCATAAATACGGGGTTAGTAATTTCCCAAGGTTCAGTCAGACCTTGCTGGCCCTTTGCACCCAACCAACCACGATCGATCTGTGCTGAGTCGACAGAGGTTAACTACATCTTTTGCCCCTGACGGAAAACCTAGGCCTCTTATTAGAAAGAGTGCAGCATTTTAAACCCTCCATTCCAATCCCCCAAGATACTAACTTACTGGATTAGCCCGTCCGGCGCTGCCGAATAAGCTGTCCCCGTAACTTGTCATCCACATAAGGATAGTAGGAGTAATGCATCACTGACCCCCCCCATCCCGTGGGTTGGAGGATGCATCGGCAAGATAAGCTTAAACTCTAAGTTATCGATTGAGTGGATCCGGACCGTCCCGCTGCGCTTCCCGCAGTTTTTTATTTATTTATTTATTTATTTATTTATTTATTTATTTATTTATTTATTTATATATATATATATATTTTTGACAAACGGCGAAAAAGAGCATCATTCTATCGACTGCACATCAGTTGGTCAAGTCGTCATTATTCTACCCTCCCTACTCCGTACATAGACCCAAGCTACGGCTTGAGAGGAGGTTGAATCTTCAAGGCACTGTCCGTTGCTTCCCTGAGTAGACTCCATCTCCTCCTCCTCCCCCTTCTCCCAAGCAACTGGATTTCCTGTTTCTACTAGTTAACCGTAGTCTTGGTGTGAGAGAACTATGTGTATGTACACAGCATATCTCCTGTATTTAACCCCATTCAAACTCTGTTAAAGTCATATACCAACTGGCAAGTACAGAACAGTTAGTTAAAAAAAAAAAAAAAAAAAAAAAAAAAAAAATCTAGTACAGAAAATATTGATCTCGTCTAGATCCCCGCTAAATGCCTCGGCACAGTGGGGCCCCCGGTGGGGTTGCCACGACGCCAAGCATTTAAACATTTGCGATGGAGATATAAATTTATTTGGCTCATTCCTGTTTGTTTGTTTTTTTTATTTTTTTTTATTTTTTATTTATTTTTAACAGAAAGCCAAGGCAGGCTGTGCAGCATGGAGGAATAATAATAGGATACAAACAAAGCCAGCAAAAAGAGACCAGGCGGGAATTCCAACCCACTCTCCACCCATTGCACGTGGCACGTCCGGCACGTCCGGCACGTCCAGAGACATGGAATAATGTCGAAATGGGAATTGTATCTCCCCTCTCGACAGGACCCTACCTGCCTGCCTGCCTGCCTGCCTGCCTGTGATGGATCGAGACGGTCGGAGAGAAGAAGATGTTCGAGTCGAGAGGGAAAATCGAAGGGGGGTCAAGGCCAGCCAGCCCAGGGAAACCACTATTCTGTAAACCCCCCCCCCCGGCCCCCGCCCAACCTTGGTCCCATCCCACCCACCCATACCATACCTCACACTCGAGATAAATAAATACATGTATGTATGGATGTATGTATGGATGTATGTATGGATGGATGTGTGCTTCTATCCCCCACTGTCAATTGCTGTTGTTGTTGTTGCTGTTGTTGTTGTTTTCAAGGGGGCAGCCAGGGTATGGAAAAAATTGGGTGGTGGAGAATAAGGACTTTTATTATTATCCAGTTTTCAGATTCATAGGAATAGGTGTGATATATATATATGTGTGTATGTATACCCGCTCCACTGCCTTGTCGCGCGTGGCCTGCTGCTGTATTACTTCGGATCGATGGGGTTGAAAACACGCGGCAACATATAGGTGTGAGAGAGAGGGAGAGAGAGAGAGAGAGAGAGAGAGAGAGAGAGAGAAGAGAAGAGAGAGCGTGGATGGGAATGTTAGCAATGTTATCAAGGAGAACAAACATGCAGCTATAATACATAATGAATAAAGCAACGGTGGTGATAGATCAATGAGAAAGTACTAATAATATATAGAAATAGTAAAATAGTTAAACAAATACCCGCCGAGAAAAAGTTCATGGAGAGGACAATAAAAAAAGATAAAAAGATAAAAAAGATAAAATGGAGCAAATGGTCTAGGGAAACTCGGAGCAGGCGAAAACAAGCAAGCCAATGAACATACGCGTGCAAAGAAAAAAACACATAACAATATTAAATAATTGACATCGATGTTCCCCACGCGAAGATAAAACTATAGGGGCAAGCAAGTGGGAAGAGAAAGAAAAATACACGAAGGGTTTGGCTGATGAAGAAGAAAGTCCCAAAAATTAATTTCCTTCTCCTTTTCTACGTCAGGGTATATCCACCATCGACTCTGAGATCGGCACCGGTGACATACTTGCTCGCGTCGCTGAGGAGGAACGTCACGGCGCCCATGAGATCCTCGGGCACGCCCATTTTACCCTGTGGGATGAGCGAGGTCCATTGGCGGTTGAGCTCCGGGTTGTCGTCGAGGATTTTGCGTGTTCTATGATTTGTTAGTTTGACGATTTCTTTCTTTTATTTCCTTTCTTTTAGGGACCCCTCCCCCCCCCCCTTCTTGGAAGGCCCTTAGGGGGGTGAGTATTGAGACAAAAATAGAAAAACCAAATCTTACAGCGCAGTCAACATATACCCGGGACTAATACAGTTAACCCGAATATGCGCCGGCGCCCACTCCACCGCCAGCGACGCGGCGAGGTGTCTAATCGCGGCCTTGGCAGCATTATACGGCGCCTGCGGCTGCGGCACGTTAACAATGGACCCGGACATGCTGCCGACCATGACGATGGAGCCCGGCGCCTTGCGCTCCAGCAGGTGCTTGGCGACGCCGACGGCGAACAGGTAGGAGCCGTCCACGTTGACGCCCCAGAGCTTCTGCATGCGGTCGTACGGGTAGGAGATGGCGTCGAAGTTTTCAGTGAAGCCGGCGGAGGTGACGAGGTTGTCGATGCGGCTGTGGGAGGCAAGGATGTTTGTGAGGCACTCGTTGACGGAGTCGGGGTTGGCGACGTCGGCGTAATGGGCGGTTATTTTGGGCATGCTGGTTTTTTTTTTTTTTGTAGGTTAGGACCAGGGGAGTTTGATATATATATCGTGGGGGCAGGGGGCAGGGGAAGGGGGACATACATTTCAATGCCTGGGTTTTCTTCCCGATACTGCGCCACCAGCTTCTTCACCTGCTCCTCAGCTTCGTCCTCTGCATTTCTAGTCAGTATCTGATCTAGAAATAGAGCAAAGGCAGGAGTCACATGTAAATCACATGATCGACAAAGCTATCAATGATTGACAAAAATCTATCCCATCCGATACTTGATATCACAAAAAAGGAAAAAGAAAAAGAAAAAGGAAAAGAAAAAGGAAAGTTGAAATAATTGCTTACTGTTCAAGTCCACAATGGCAAGATCAGAGCCCGACGCCACGAGCGCCTGCCCCATAACCAGCCCCAATCCCCGAGCACCCCCAGTAACGACCGAGACACGACCTTCCAACGAAAAGGACGCCAGCGTCCGCTTGAAGTGCATACCACCGCGACCCTGAACGATAGGGCTGCGAGGCATCTCGTGGTCCTCGGGATACTCGACACGAACGCTCTCATCGGTCCGAGCATAGCGACCCTCGTGCTCTGCCGTCTCTTCCTTGGAAGCAGCGGTGCTGGATTTCTTGAAAGGGTCCTCGTCCTTGTCATCCCTTTTGCTTTCTCTTAGAGCAGGGGTTGTGGAGATGCAGCGGGCCTGTGTGGTGGTGAGAGCCGGCCTGGAAGAGGTGGAGCGGATAGCTGCTGGTGGCCCCTTGTAGCCATGGCTGGCAGCCCGGAGTGCCTGGCGGGCAATTGATGGTTTGAACATAGTAGCTTTTGCTTGTGTACTGCTTCTGGTGTGGACTTTTTTTTTTTTTTTTTTTTCCTTTCCAAAGGGGGTAGGTATCTGCATGTGGATATATGTCAGTAATGGGAATGCAGGGCAAATTGGGGGAGATATTGATAGGAATGAATAATTGAATAAGATTCAAGTGGTCGGGATATATATGTTGGCGAGAATTTGGAATTGGTACATAAATGCTTCTGTTGCTCATTGGTATCGAGGGATTGAGACAAAAAGACTCACCAGATCAAATTCTGTGTAGTGGTTTAATTTAACGTCTCAGGTACGGTATCACGCAACACGATCAGACAATTCAGTTTGATAATAGAGGGAATATAGAG